CACAGCCCAGAAGACCCACACCAGCCATCGTATGCCGGCCGTGAAAGCCTTCGACAATACTATGATCAAGTCTGACAACGTGTCTCCGTTCCCACAGACTCCAATGCTACTCTCTGTTGCCCTGCATACTCCAGATGTTTCCAGGATAAATGGAAGGGCTGTAGCTTCCCCGCCAGGCTGAATCGCCAGGAGAGAGTTGCTGCCAGTCACTGTAGACAGTACTGATTTAGATGGAAAGGCTAACTCAGTATAAAACAGCTTGTCGAGTCTCCGTGCTAGAATGTGGGATTCTCCTGACAAATGTTTTTTTAATCAATGTTAGGTCCTAAGTTAATTTAAAAGAAATGTATACATACATAGAGCAGAATTGATGGAACAATATTCTGTAACTTCAGATGGAATGGTCATAACAAAAGTATTGTTAGGAATAACATTAAAAGAAAAAGAGGTCCCTAGCAAATTACGTTATAAACAACTCCAAAAGCTTTAACCATATTGCTCAAAAGTCTTCTTGCTCCTTTGTTAAAACATAAAAACCAAGCCCCATATAACCTCATTCAAATATTGGCAGATAATACATATCATCAGTCCATAGCTGCAAATTGGGTTTAGATTTATTCTAGTGTCTGATAATTCTTTTAGCCAATCCCTATGCCCCAAAATCTGTAGTTCTTCATATCTTGATAGATTCCAAATACCAGGAAGGACATATACTAGAGTCTTTGAGATTGTGGCAATTTATATATTTCATAGACAAAGAACATACACATCTTTAACACGCAGCAATTGATACAAAGTCCTAGCAACATCCCAATCTGTGACAATAATAGGACAAGACCAAACCATGCGAGTTAATATTGGATCTCCAATGGCAAGGCAATTATAACCAACCCATAAGTCTTTTTATTATATTCATATCATTTTTAAGACTATAGGAACCTAAAATAGTTTCCTTAAAAATAATGTGAAGTTGACAGCTCTATGAAACAGAATGCACAGTATAGTCAAAAAGTCCCCAACGAAGAGCACACAAGAAATATAGTCAACTATGTGGGTATTCACTATGGGTGCAAAGTATAATAATATCCTGAAAGTTATTTACTTTCTCAGGAGATACCCTGTTCCTTCACCACCACAGTGTTCCAAGTTCACCTTAAAGTAGATGTTACCATTTATTTTTATTCCTTTTTGCTTGCTTGTTTTATGAATCTCTGATTTAATTTGGAGGAGTGCTTACTGTTATGTAATTTTAATTGTAGACCTTACATTGTGGTGATTATAACTCACCACAAGTCTCTCAACTGCGGCAAATAGGAAAATAGGATAAACAAAATAAAGAAATTATAAGAGAATTTAGAGACTGATGCACTAAGCTTCTGTGTAGATCAACTAAAAAATGAAATATGTGAATAGTCTTAAAAACATAAACTGCGGCAAACCTGGAGTGCCTACAAGTAATTTCCCCAGGTGCCTATAACATTCTCTGCTGATGCCTGTGATTCATTCTTATATTTAAATTATTTTTAGCTGGGTGGCTAAGGATGCTGAAAATGAAGTATTGGCCTATGGCCACCTAACATCTTTATTTCACAGATACATTTTTAGTAAGTAATTCTCAATCTGAAAAACAAATTAAAATGGATTAAATAAATAAAATAAAATGGTATCCATGCTTTGTAATGCTATTCCATGCACCCTCCAATTTCACTGTTGAGAAGCCAGAAGGCTTGGGTAATTTGACAACATGAGATGAAGAAGTTGGAAGTCTGGAGCTGGGAATGGGAAGAGTTGCAGGAGGAGCTAAAATACTGGAATGATAAATGAGAAGATACGTGTGTGTGAGAGAGAGAGAAAGAGAGAGTGCATGTATTAGGAGGAGGTCCTGAACAAGAAAGAAATAAGTGACACAATAAGTTAGTATTATTTATCAGGAGTTAAGGATAAAAGAGAGAATTTGGGACAATTTACCCTCAACATCCAAGAGCCGCACAAGCACCCCTGATGTCAGCCATGTTTTAGAAGGATTCCATGTTGACTGGGTGCAACTTCATAGAATTATGTGGCTTCAGAAAAAACAGGGCTTATTTAGCAGAACATTTTAAAGGCAAGTTCTTCACATTCACAACTTCTCTAGCTTCCACACAAATTAGGCTACCCTGTACCTTCCAATCAATGAATGTAAGAATGTACTGTAGTTTTAGGTGACATCGTTTTATTTGTATTAGGGAGATTGTAGATTAACAATCCAGTTATTAGAAGTTACCTGTTAGCAGGAATTTCTTGATGTGTGTGGGATCACAGTGTTTCAGTTACATTCCTATCAAACTGCAGCCAATGTTGATCTTAACCAATGAACAATCAATTCAACTTGAAAACATAATCATATTCAAGCAAGTACAAGAACAAAAATACAGGTAGTCCTTGCTTAACAACCATTTGTTTAGTGACTGAAGTTACAACAGTGCTAAAGAAGTGACTTAAGACTGGTCCTTGCACTTATGACCATTGCAGCATCCCCAGGGTCATGTGATCATGATCCAGACACTTGGCAACCAGCTTGCACTTATGATGGTTGCAGTGTCCTGGGGTCATGTGATTGTCATTTGTGACCTTCCCAGCCAGCTTCCAGCAAGCAAAATCAATGGGGAACCACATTATTTGCTTAATGACCGTGTGGTTCGGTTAATGACTATTGTAATTCACTTAACCGCCCCAAAAAAGGTAGTAAAATCGGGTCTCATTTGCTTCACAACTGCCCTGCTTAACAACCAATTTTCCGGTCCCTATTATGGTTGTTAAGTGAGGACTACCTGTAAATAAAGTACTTGTATGTAGGTTTTGTTGGACAACTATGCTGAGAATGACATTTGTATGCCCAAGCACTCTGGCTAGGTGTCCATGCGGGGGGGGGGGTCCATTGTGGGGGGGG